CCTCCCTCCCTTCTTTTCCAAGGAAGCTGGCGGATGGTTCTTTTCGGAGGCCAAGGAACCAAAGGAGGATGCGGGGTGCGGGCGAGAGCGGCTGCAGCCCAGGCTGGGCCTGGGTCGAGCTCTGGGGGAGAGGGGGGAGGGCACCCCCAAATTCCACCCCCACCCCTTTTTTGTGCCCTTAACGCATCCCCCCTCCGTCATCGTGAGGAGACTGGGGTGGTGTTGGGGCTCCAGGCCCACACCCCGCCCAGGAGGGGTGTCATCTGGGGGTGCCACGAGGGCCCCCCAAAAAAACAATCCTGGCTGTGACAGCCCCAGAAGCAGCGGGGGGGGATGGGGACCCCAGGCCGGCTCCCTGGGGTGCCCCCCTGCCCCACCCCCCTTCCCGGGGAGCAGCACCCCGAAAGGCGAGGGCGATGGCCCTGGGGTTTCAAGGTGCTATCTATCAGGGAGGCGGGAGGCGCACCCCGATCTCAGCCGCCCCCTGCCTAGCTTTACCCCCTCCGCCACGCGCGTGCGCGCACACGCACACCAGGACAGTCCCTCTGTCTGTCCATCAGTCCGTCTGTCTGTCTGATTTCCCCCCCCCCCACACACACACACAGGCCTGGCCACACACCCCAACTCCGCTGGCCCCCAAGACGGGCATTGAACCTGATCTGCGCCGGCCCCGGGATTTGAACTCAGGGACCTGGGCTCTCGTCCTCTCGCTCCCCCCCCTCCCCCAGGCCGACCGCCGGGGCCCACGGCTCGTCCGCCACCGGCTTTGTGGAGAAGCAAACAAAGGAGTCTCTCAGCCTTTGCCTCAGATCCTCCGGCTTTGTGGAGAAGCAAACAAAGGAGTCTCTCAGCCTTTGCCTCAGATCCTCCGGCCTGGGCCTCCCGGGCGTGCGCTGCCTGCCGGCCCCCAGCTCCACGGAACCCCCCCCCTCCCCAGTTGTTTCTTGTTCTCTTTTCCCCCATCCCCGCCTTTGGGGTAGGGAAGGAGCTGCCTAAGCTACATGCACCCCCGGCCCCCCCAGCCCCGGTCTGTCTGACTCTGCACCTTACAACGCCCCCCCCCTTCCCAGCTCCACCTACCGGTGGTGGATGGGGCCTGCGCCCCAGGACACCTGGACACACGGACTCTTGTGGTCTCCGGGAAGGGGAGCCAGCCCCCCCATTGCTGGCCGGAGCCGGGGTGGGAGAGAGGGGGGACATTTTAATCATCAATAAACGAAGCACTTTATTCTGTAACTCGAGCGCCAGCCCCCTCCCCCACTGGGGGGAATGGGTGGGGGGTGGGGGAGGGAAGAGACATTCTGTGTCCTGGCTTTTTGGGGGGGAGGGGAAGGAGGCCCCATCTTCCTCTCTGAAAAAGGAGAACTTCCAGCTGGGCTCCGGTCCCGGGATTCGAACTCATGACCCAAGCTGTTTTGCTTGTGCCCCAAGGCCGGCGCTCGACCCCCCGAAGCGCAGTGCTGCTGTCTGTCTTTTCCTCTGAGTGCTTCCATTTGGAGATCAGAGTCTCACGGGGACTTTTCCTGCCCCTGCGGCTGGGCCTCGAACCACCATCCTCCGGATTTCGGCCTCCCAAAGTCACTAGAATGCCCGGCATGAAGCTACCAGCCATCCTTGTGTGTTCCACAAGGTCCTTCTAGAAGCTGCCAGGGGCGGGGGGGGGAGGGGAGGGCCAGGCGTGTGAGACATGCTGACGGGGACCCCCCAAAAGAGGGAAGGTGACTCAGTAGTCACGGCCTAGCCTGCGACCTCCTATTCACCCCGCCACGCCCCAGGCCAGAACCTAAGGAGACGAATGAGTCATTGGTTCCCACAGAGCTCAGGCCCGGGGACCTGAGGCTAAATTTAACCCACAGCTGTGGCCCTGGCACTGAGCAGCGCGCAGAGGATGGTGGGTAGGGGGTGTTCGGCCGCCCTGGGCACCAAGGGGGCCCCCCCTTTACCTGGACGCCGTACCCAGGCCAGGCAGGAAGAACAGAGACTAAGTAGCTGCTCAGCGAGGCCACACGGTCCAGACCCCGGGATCCTTATTCCTCCCGGTGCTCAATCCTGGGACTCGAACCCAGGGCCTGGGCCCCATCCCTGAGCTTCTTTGTGGCTCAACGCGGGTGCTGTACCGCTCTAACCACGGCTGGTGGTGTGGGCACTTCCAGTTGCCTGGTGGCTCCTTGGGAGATCAGAAGCTCACAGGCTTTTCTGCCTGAGGCCAGCCTCGAACCGTGATCCTCTAGATCTCAGCCTCCTGAGGAGCTGGGAATGACGGGCGTGAGCCACTGATTCATCCACCTGAGAGTAAAAAGGCCTTCAATCTCCCCGGGGAGGGGCCCTGCACCCCCCCAGAGCTGAGTCAAGGCCTCCAGACCAGTTGTCCACCCCCCCCGTACCCCCCTTTAAGTATGCGTCACATGCTGGACAAGATCACCTTACACAGGGGCCTGGCTGGGCGCCGTGTCTATATATAATCCTCGTCCTCCTGCAGCTGCTGGGTTGGAAGACAACAGACAGACAGACGGACGGACAGACAGACCAGGGAGGGCGGCCATCATGACGGTGGGCTTGCAGGAGGCCGAGGAGCAGCGGCTGTACCAGCAGACCCTCCTGCAGGACGGCCTCAAGGACCTGCTGGACGGCGGCCAGCTGGTGGACTGCGTGGTGAAGGTGGCCGAGCGCCAGTTTCCCTGTCACCGTCTCGTGCTGGCCGCCTGTAGTCCCTACTTTCGAGCCCGGCTGCTGGGGGAAGCGGAGCCGGGGGCCGAGCCGGGCCAGCTGCGGCTGGATGACGTCTCCCCAGATGTGGTGGGCCAGATGTTGCGCTACCTCTACACCTCGCAGATCGCCCTGGACGAGGCCAGCGTGCAGGAGCTGCTGGCCACGGCGCACCGCTTCCAGATCGCCTCCATCTTCACCCTCTGCATCTCCTTCCTGCATCGCCGGCTCTGCCTGGCCAACTGCCTGGCCGTCTACCGCCTGGGCCTCCTGCTCGACTGTCCCCGGCTGGCCGTGGCCGCCCGGGATTTCATCTGCGCCCGCTTCTCGCTGGTGGCCCGCGACGCGGACTTCGTGGGCCTGTCCCCCGACGAGCTGATCGCCATCGTGTGCAGCGACGGGCTGGACGTGGCCCGGGAGGAGGTGGTGTTCGAGGCCGTGATGCGCTGGGCGGAGGCCGGAGGGGATGCCCAGCTCCGGGCCGAGCGCCAAGGCGCCCTGCCCACCGTGTTCGAGAGCCTGCGCTGCCGCCTGCTGCCACGCGAGTTCCTGGAGACGCGCGTGGCCGGACACCCGCTGGTGAAGACGCAGCCCGAGCTGCTGCGCAAGATCCAGATGGTGAGGGAGGCCCACGAGGGGCGGCTGACCACGCTGCGCAGGAGGAGGAAGGGGAAGAAGAAGGAGGCGGAGGCGGAGGCCGAGGGGGGAGACCCGAAGGCCGAGGCCCGGGGAAATGCGCAGGAGGCCGAGGAGGAGGACGATGGCCGCGTGCTGCCCGGCATCCTCAACGACACCCCGCGCTTTGGCATGTTCCTGAAGGACCTGATCCTCATGGTCAGCGAGGCCGGGGCCGTGGCCTACGACCCGGCCTCCAACCAGTGCTACCTGGCCGCCCTGTCCACGCAGGTGCCCAAGAACCACACCAGCCTGGTGACCGCCGAGAACCAGGTGTTCGTGGCCGGGGGGCTCTTCCACAACGAGGACGACCCCGACGAGCCCCTGAGCGCCTACTTCCTGCAGGTGCGCGGGTTTTGGGGGTGCTGGGGGGAGGCTTGGGGGGCTCCGGGAGCCACGGTCCAGGTGCCCTCGGATGGGGACGCTGAGGCTGCGGGGGGCGCAGGGGAAGGGGACGTGGGATCTGTGGGGTGTGTGGCCGAGTCGGGCCTGGGATTCGAACTCACGGCCTGGGCGCCACGTGGCAGAGGTTGGCTTTGCGGGTGGCTCTCTGCCGCTTGAGCCACGAGCCCCGACCGGCTTCGTGCTGGAGATCGGGGGGCTTAGGGAGGCTCCGTTCCTCCCCCAACCCCGGGCTGGCCTCGAACCGCGATCCTCCGGATGGCAGCC